TATGATTGTACACACCTGGTGGTCAGTAGACTGACCTCCATAGTTATGATTGTACACACCTGTTGGTTAGTAGACTGACCTCCATAGTTATGATTGTACACACCTGGTGGTCAGTAGACTGACCTCCATACTTATGATTGTACCCACCTAGTGGTCAGTAGACAGACCTTTATAGTTATGATTGTACACACTTGGTGGTCAGTAGACTGACTTCTATAGTTATGATTGTACACACCTAGTGGTCAGTAGACTGAGCTCCATAGTTATGATTTTACACACCTGATGGTCAGTAGACTGACCTCCATAGCTATAATTGTACACACCTGGTGGTCAGTAGACAGGCCTCCATAGTTGTGATTGTACACACCTAGTGGTCAGTAGACTGACCTCCATAAGTATGATAGTACACACTTAGTGATCAGTAGACAGGCCTCCATAGTTATGATTGTACACACTTGGTGGTCAGTAGACAGACCTCCATAGATATGATTGTACACCCCTGGTGGTCAGTGGACAGACCTTTATAGTTATGATTGTACACACTTGGTGGTCAGTAGACAGACCTCCATAGTTATGATTGTACACCCCTGGTGGTCAGTAGACAGGCCTCCATAGTTATGATCGTACACACCTAGTGGTCAGTAGACAGACCTTTGTAGTTATGATTGTACACACTTGGTGGTCAGTAGACAGACCTCCATAGATGTGATTGTACACACCTGATGGTCAGTAGACTGCCCTCCATAGCTATAATTGTACACACCTGGTGGTCAGTAGACAGGCCTCCATAGTTATGATTGTACACACTTGGTGGTCAGTAGACAGACCTCCATAGTTATGATTGTACACACCTAGTGGTCAGTAGACAAACCTCCATAGTTTTGATTGTACACACCTGGTGGTCAGTGGACAGACCTTTATAGTTATGATTGTATACTCTTGGTGGTCAGTAGACTGACTTCTATAGTTATGATTGTACCCACCTAGTGGTCAGTAGACAGACCTCCATACTTGTGATTGTATACACCTGGTGGTCAGTAGACAGACCTTTATAGCTAAGATTGTACACACCTGGTGGTCAGTAGACGGACCTCCATAGTTATGATTGTACACCCTTGGTGGTCAGTAGACTGACCTCCATACTTATGATTGTACACACCTGGTGGTCAGCAGACTGACCTCCATAGTTATGATTGTAAACACCTGGTGGTCAGTAGACTGAACTCCATAGATTTGATTGTACACACCTAGGTGACAGTAGACAGACCTTAATAGTTATGATTGTACACACCTGGTCGTCAGTAGACTGCCCTCCATAGATTTGATTGTACACACCTGGTGGTCAGTGGACAGACCTTTATAGTTATGATTGTATACTCTTGGTGGTCAGTAGACTGACTTCTATAGTTATGATTGTACAAACCTAGTGGTCAGTAGACTGAGCTCCGTAGTTATGATTTTACACACCTGATGGTCAGTAGACTGACCTCCATAGCTATGATTTTACACACCTAGTGGTCAGTAGACTGACCTCCATAAGAATGATTGTACACACCTGGTGGTCAGTAGACTGTCCTCCATAGTTATGATTGTACACTCCTGTTGATTAGTAGACTGACCTCCATAGTTATGATTGTCCACACCTGGTGGTCAGTAGACTGAACTCCATAGATTTGATTGTACACACCTGGTGGTCAGTGGACAGACCTTTATAGTTATGATTGTACACACATGGTGGTCAGTAGACTGACTTCTATAGTTATGATGACCTCTATAAGTATGATTGTACACACCTGGTGGTCAGTAGACTGACCTCCATAGTTATGATTGTACACACCTGGTCGTCAGTAGACTGACCTCCATAGATTTGATTGTACACACCTAGGTGTCAGTAGACAGACCTTAATAGTTATGATTGTACACACCTGGTGGTCAATATGTTTTCCTTAATAGCTATGACTATTCTTAAAATATTTGGCAATCGGCTAATATAATCTTCCTACATGTAGCTCCCTATGGTAACTCTCACCTTGATGTTAGGAGGCCATCGTCCATACAGGCCATGATATGAATCTTGCCTACAGTCAACTTTTTGGGAATCAATGCCTGAAAGAGAGTCAACAGTATAACATACAGGTATGTAGGGCAATTTAACATATAAATATTGAAACCATAGTCAAATGTTTGAATGCTGGCACAAGATATTTCAACCGTGTAAGTATTATCATACAATTATTGACCCTCTTTTGATGTGACAAGAGGATTTTTCTGCATGAGATAAGTATTATCATTGTGGAGGGTCTGGTATCTTGGGTAATACATCCTACCTTGTTCAATTCCAACCAACATTGTTTCAAAGTGTCATAAGGAAATGTTCACCAGTGAAAACATACTAAATTTGACCTTTTCATTTAATCCAGTGACCTTGACTTAAGTCAGGTGACTCTTTGTTAAGTTCCAACCAACTTTGCTCCATAATGTCATAACAACATTTTCATCAGAGAAAAGATACAAAACTTGACCTTGACCTTTAACTCAATTACCTTGACCATTGGTCAGTTGACTCCTTGTTTAATTCTGACCAACATTGCTTCATAGTTAAAATCCAAGACGGCTGATTAGCAGCCATTTTGAATCCAATCTGCCCGAAAAATTACCAAGCAAAACTACGATGCATGGGAAATCATCAAGTAAAATTTTAAAACATACTCCATTTACTTCCATCAATATTATGAGAAAAAATACCTGGACTGACGGACAAACAGATTACTATAGGGCACCCCCATCTCGATGCGGGGCCCTAATAAATCTGGTGGATGTTTACTGGTTAGTGGTACTGTTTTACTATTAAATTGCATCTGGTGGCACTATGTTTGTTTCTTCTTCAAGCAAGCAAGAAGTTTCAGTAACTAGTAGTGTAGGAGATAGAGCCCGGACAAACTTTATTTTTTGCAGGTCAAAGGTCAAAATGTAGGTCAAAGTGACCTACTTTTAACACACGACACACCGCCCCACCAATGTGAACCCATACCCCAAGTATAAAGTTCCAGTGACTAATAGTGTAGGAGATAGAGCCCAGACAAGAAAGCGGAAGGACGGAAGGACAGACGGAATTGTTGCAAAACTATAGTCCCCTCCAGGTCCCAGTGGGGGACTAATAAGGCAAACATTAACATGAAAAATAGCAATAGAACATCTCTGTAGCTATGGAAACAGCACCATGTTTGTCAATCGAAAATCTCCATAGCTACCGAAACAGCACCATGTGTATCAATGGAACATCTCCAAGCTACTAAAACAGCAATGTTAGTGTCAATAGAACATCTCCATAGCCATGGAAACAGCACCATGTTTGTCAATCGTACATCTCCATAGCAACTAAAACAGCACCATGTGTGTCAATGGAACATGTCCAAGCTACTAAAACAGCAATGTTAGTGTCAATAGAACATCTCCATAGCAACTAAAACAGCACCATGTGTGTCATTAGAACATCTCCATAGCAACTAAAACAGCACCATGTGTGTCAATGGAACTTCTCCATAGCAACTAAAACAGCACCATGTGTGTCATTAGAACATCTCCATAGCAACTAAAACAGCAATGTTAGTGTCGATAGAACATCTCCATAGCAACTATAACAGCACCATGAGTATCAATAGAGCATGAGCTACTATAGTATATGACTTTACACAGGTGTTTTATTAAATAGGTGTATTTATTAATTCAATGCTGTCAGACATACCGGAACTCTATAGTGTGGTTGGTAGTTCATAATCTGCAGTTGGGCATCTTTGCTCCATATACCAATCACAAAGTGGGCACGACAATCCATGTCAGACATCAGAGGAGAAAATTCTGAGCTGAATATCTCAGGGGATCCCTACAAAAACAAGTACTTGTGTCTTACAACAGAAATTGGGTTAAAATAGACTGTAAGACTGATATCTTCAAACATTTAAAACTAATGACATATTATTTGTGTCAATGACAGCAGAACCAATGTTAGAATCATAGAGGCTGTACAGACACAATGTATGTTTATTATGGCGAGGCTATACCTGCCATACATATATAACTCTACAACCATGTAACATTTATATAAAGACATCCTCAAACATGTACGGGTTGAATATCTGTTGTTATACAATAATAACTGGTTGAAAACAGAAACTTCGCAGCAGTTGATTAAATCATGAAACTGGGTTGACCATGAGGCCCATAGTGCCTGCATTTCTTACTTAGATATTTAATCCTAAACGTAGTGCCAGATCCAGGGCCGAACCCCTATAGCATGACTGTTATCTTTTCATTGTCTCTTCATGCCCATCATTTGTATATATGATTACTGTAAGGGATCTCAACCATTTCCATGTCATGACCCAAGGACTAAGTCCCAATGGGCAGGGCTAGACCCTAGATCAATTACAGATGCATCCTTTTCATCATCTTTACACGCTAGCAGTTGTTTTATGGTTATGAGGCACACCCTCATTGTACAATGTTGAGTCCCCTTAACATAAAGATCCTTCAGTCTTGGTTTAACACCTTTATCTACATCATTCCTTTACGCTGTAGTAGCAATTAGATAAAAACTCCACTCACACTTTTCGGCTGGTGTTTGAACTCCACTTTGGTGGTGGTATCACTGATGAAGTTCACTGTGACAGTCATGGTGTCGCCCTCTGATATCCCACCAGTCAGCATACCCTTCTTCTCCACCTTATCCACCGACAAACTGAAACATCAGGTCCATATAAACATCAGATCCATATAAACATCAGGTCCACATAAACATAAGATACATATAAACATTAGGGCCATATAAACATCAGGTCCATATAAACATCAGGTTCACATAAACATCAGGTCCATATAAACATTAGATCCATATAAATATCAGGTTCATATAAACATCAGATCCATATAAACATCAGGTCCACATAAACATCAGGTTCATATAAACATAAGATCCACATAAACATTAGGTCCATATAAACATCAGATCCATATAAACATAATATCCACATAAACATCAGATCCATATAAACATCAGATCCATATAAACATCAGATCCATATATACATAAGATCCACATAAACATCAGGTCCATATAAACATCAGATTCACATAAACATCAGGTCCATATAAACATAAGATCCACATAAACATCAGGTTCACATAAACATCATATCCATATAAACATCAGATCCATATAAACATCAGATCCATATAAACATAAGATCCATATAAACACAAGATCCATATAAACATAGGATCCACATAAACATCAGATCCATATAAACATCAGATTCATATAAACATCAGATCCATATAAACATCAGGTCCATATAAACATAAGGTCCATATAAACATAAGATCAACATAAACATCAGGTCAATATAAACATAAGATCCACATAAACCTCAGGTCCACCCCAACATAAGATCCACATAAACATCGGATCCATATAAACATTAGATCCATATAAACATCAGATCCATATAAACATCAGGTCCACATAAACATCAGGTACATATACAGATCCATATAAACATCAGGTTCATATAAACATCAGATCCACATAAACATCAGGTTCATATAAACATCAGATCCATATAAACATCAGATCCATATAAACATCAGGTCCATATAAACATAAGATCCACATAAACATCAGGTCCATATAAACATAAGATCCACATAAACATAAGATCCATATAAACATAAGATCCATATAAACATCAGATCCACATAAACATCAGATCTACAGTATCAAGACATTCTGAAATATCTAATCCACTTTATCCATTCATTATGAAACATCACCTGAGTTAAATATAGCTGTATTTTCCTCTGAGACGTAAAGAGGAAAATGAATTTTGGGCAGAAGTTATATATTCATAAAAAAAGTGAATTCTGCTTAATTTGTTAGAGGAAAACAAGACGGTAAGTGAAACATGACATCAACAGATGCTAAGTTTTTCAAATGTTTAAGCTATCAAAACCTGGAAGTGCATGCATGACCATACTCAAATGTCCCAGTGAAGTTGTTCTACAAAGATCACGCTTTAAGAAGATATTTTGTAACTGACTTTATTTTTTCTTTATTGACGGTGAAATAATCACCTTTGATCTGTTTCTTTTATTGAAATATGCTGCCAAACACTTCAGTAATATCAGTAACACCTAAGGAGAGATAGGAGACGATAAGATTTGCCTAAAAATGATCTACAGTAGCTGTCTGAAGCCTGAAATCATTTTTTGCAAGTGCCAACTGGTTGTACATACTGTTACTGTAGCTTAAAAAGCTACCTTGTGATGTTTCATTGGAGGACGGTTCAGTGAATACTTTTATTAGAAAATTTGATGACGTGAAATGCATGAGGAAAACCCCCCAGACCCAAATGAAATCTGAAATTGTTATCTGTCTGCTTGAATTTAAAAATGTATTCGATATGTCATTTCCACAGGATCAAATCATTCATTTATTGATTACCACATTGTATAAGAACAAGCCAGTAGCTGCCTACAGAGTGTGGAGTGCACGTTGAGGTATTCAAGTTTACAATTCTGATAAAGCACCTTAGGACCTTACCATCCATGCAGAGTATTTGATCCTTAGATTTCCAGTTCTGAGGAAGAATATTTTTCTTATATGATTGATTTTCAACTATTGGACCCCCTGATCACCCAAACCCCTTGTGGGAGCTGGAACTTAATTTTACAATTTCATGCCTCCTTCCTCAAAAGATTGTTCCTTACCAAATTTGAAAGAAATTTCTTCATCAGCTCTAAAGAGGAAGGCAAAAAATGTGAAAAAGTCCTAAAGTGTAGAACAATGCAGGGCAAAAAGTGACCACAAGAGGTCATTGGAAGCTTTGACTCAGGTGATCTAAACATTCAAATACATTTTCTTTTTTTGTTAATCAAAATCACAGCATGAAACATACTATTACATTCAATTTTGTTACACTCTGCATACAGCCAATGTGCCAAGTCTTGTAGAAACTTACAGATTTGATTCTGCATTAAAGATGATTGTTTTGTCTGCTCCACTTTTCCAATCTTTCAGTTCCGTAACATATCCTGCCAATCCAAAACAGAATTGTCCAAGTTTTCCTTTTCCTGCTTTAACGAGTTTGAAGGTGATGACATTGTTTGACCTTGAAACTGCATTATTACTCACAAAATAGCCTCCTTGTTCTGTCAACGCACTAAAAGACAAAATGAAAGCATCAGAAAATCTCCCAAATAACAAAGAAGATGAAATATATATAAGAAAAACAAGAGGCCCCATTGGCCTGCATCGCTCACCTGGTATTAAACCTTAAAAGTGATCTAAACAAAAGCTACAGGCAAAATGTCAGTATCTTTGACTATAAGTCATTCAAAAGAACCTGTTAAAAGATTTTCAAACATTTGACCCCTGTGACATCTAAAGTCGAACAAGGTCATTCATTACATTGAACAAACTTAATAGCTCTTCATCTCAGCATGCAACTTGCCAAATATCACCACCCTAGACCTTTTGTTGATTGATATTAGTTTATTTAAAGGTTTATACATATTTGATCAAATGTGACCTTGAAAGAAGGTCAAGGTCATTCAAATGACTTGATAGCCCTTCATCTAAGCATGCTCCTGGCCAAATTTCAACATTATAGGCCTCATGGTTATTCAGAAGAAGTTGTTTAAATATTTTAAACAAATTTGAACCCTGCGACCTTGAATATATCTCAAGGTCATTCATTTTAACAAACTTGGTAGCCCTTTATCTTAGAAAGCTTCTGGCCAGATATAGACATTCTAGGCCTTATGGCTATTCAGAAGAAGTCTTTAAAGTTTTAAACATATTTGATGCCTGTGACCTTGAAAATAAGTCAAGGTCATTTATTTGAACAAACTTGGTAGCCCTTTATCCCAGTATGCTACTGGCCAGATATCATCATCCTTGGCATTTTGGTTAATCAGAAGAAGTCATTTAAAGGTTTTTTAAGACAATTGCCCCCTGTGACCTTGAATATGAGTGAAGTTCATTCATTTGAACAAACATGGTAGCCCTTTATCCGAGCATGCTACAGTCCAGATATCATAACCCTGGGCCTTTTGGTTATTCAGGAGAAGTGTTTAATTTTTTTAATATATTTGACCCCTGTGACCTTGAATATTGGTGAAGGTCATTTATTTGAACAAAATTGGTAGCCTTTCATCCCAGCACGCTACTGACCAAATATCATCACCCTGGGCATTTTGGTTATTCAGAAGAAGTTGTTTAAATGTTTTTAAGAAAATTGACCCCTTTGACCTTGACTAAATGTGAAGATCATTCATTTGAACAAACTTGGTAGCCCATCATCCCAGCATGTTTCTGGTCAAATATCATCACCCTGGGCATTTTGGTTATTCAGAAGAAGTCGCTTAAAGTTGTGACCTTAAAGATGGGTGAAGGTCATTATTTATTTGAACAAACTTGTTAGCCCTTCATCCCAGTTTGCTTCTTGCCAAATATCACCACTCTAGGCCTCGGGCGAGGTGAGCTAATAAAACCAGAAACATTTCTTGTGAACATAACAAAACAAGAGGCTCAAAGGGCCTGAATATTTAAGCAATCATGGCAAAATTTTGCATGTAATATTGCACATGTCTTCAGAGGAGGGTCTTAACCCTGGGTCTGATCCATGTAGTGTGTTCCTACCCAGCAACAACTCATCGTATAAGTGTTATAGGGTAAAGATCTTAACCGACCTGGAATAAGCTTAATTGATTAAGAAAATGTAGACAGATAGACGGATGGATGGAGGCCATTTGTTTGGTAATCACCTTTGTCATTCTGTGTCATTTGTGATACAAGATATAATGTTAAAAACCACATGGTTCTAACCATGAAATGAAGGTTTACGTTACCTGAGAACTCCATCATCATCCAAGGCACAGTCAGACACAAAACCTCGCAGAATCTCTTTGTTTTCATACTTCTTCACAAACTCCTGAATAACAGAATAAACAACAAAATTACCACATTTAAGCATTGAGGTAGATTTTTTTTTATTTTCATCATGGTATGAAAAGAATTATTTTGCAATCTTTGTAAGAATCAGCTATGCGGATTCATACAGTTTGCAAACAAATTCTTTGCATACCCTGATGAAAAACATAAAAAAATCAATTAATTTCGATTGATTGTCATGAAAAAATCCATTAACAAATAAAATTGTTAAATTATTTTTAATAGTGGCACTTTATCAAATGCACAATAATATTCAAACCAGCAACATTGTGTATTGCGATGCCATGAAACGTCAAATGTCTCGTACGATCAGCTGAGCGGAGAGAAGTGGCCATATTAGTTAACTGTTGCGAGGCGTTAAAACACAATGTCTGGCCAATTTGTGTCCAAAATTAAAGACGAAGTGCGTGCTATGTGAGTCTGTATACAATCTTTACTTACCAACCTAACAAAAAGTTTCAAAATATCCTCATTAGAGTCAAACAGGATATTGTCAAGACATGTGAATCGTTTGTGTTTGTTGAAACATCAGAACCTATATTCACGACTTACCAGTGGCTTTTCCACCATATGGGTTAGGGACACCTTTATAGTACCTCCCTCACCAAGGGCTGCCACCAGGGGGAACGGGGTTGACAAGTTCTGGGCATTTTTGTTTAGAAGATCACCTTTAAACTGAAATTTTAAAAAAAATAGAAATTTCAAGCATGAATTAATATGAACAATAGAGCAAAACATTATCAATTACACAAACTCTACTAGTAGTATATTTATATTCCACATGATATACATTGGCTACTCCGGTGTTTCAGAAAATCAATATTTTTTAACCAGGGCATAAATCAAAAGACCACATGGGCCTGTATCGTTCACTTGTTATTCAATGATGTTGTGAAACACATCTCAGAACTTAAACATAGCTAGAACTGTATCTATAAGCCAAAGGCTAACTAATACCCTCTGCTCCTATATAAACCTGAACTGTAAGCTAAAGGCTTACTAATTCCCCCCACTCCTATATAAACCAGAACTGTAAGCTAAATTTAAGGCTAACTAATACCCTCTGCTCCTATATAAACCAGAACTGTAAGCTAAAGGCTAACTAATACCCTCTGCTCCTATATAAACCAGAACTGTAAGCTAAAGGCTTACTAATGCAAAACATTGCAAAGTTATCCATAGTCTCCCAGCAGTAATGATTTCTTTATTGACTGAGCTGTACACTGATATAAGTATACAGGTCACTGAAATACTTCCTGTACTCCCTCCCCATGCCAAAACATACTTACATACCAAATCTTGTTAGCCCAGATGAACCAGTTTTACTGAAATTGTCCTATTAGATGTCAACATGTTAACAAAGGGCCATAACTCTTTAAAAAGGGCCGAAATGAAAAAAATACTAGCCCGATGCACGACAACAGGGAGTAATTACCATATCTGTAAACTTTCATGGGGCCCAGTAGTTTATGAGGCAAAGGTTTATTCCACAAAAGACCATATCTCCTTTAGGGTTAGAATGACAAGAATTCCAAGGAAGTGGATGTGTCGCTTGCGCAGGAAGCTGGGAGATTACGAAGAAATAGATACACTTTTCATTTCAAGAAATAATATTAAAAGTAAGCAATAATCATAGATTATGTTTTTGGATGGCATTATTTTGTCATATAATCTGTTATTCTGGGAAGAATACTCTGAGTTTTAAGGAACTTGCTATGGATACTCATTGTCTCAATTCCGAGTTTAATTTGTATGATTTGTCGGATGGTTTCCCATAAATAATTTAATGAATAAACTTGTGGATTATGATGTTAAACAGCTAGTGTTGTCAATAACATTTGGAGTAAGACGGCATTTCAGAGGTATACACGGTGGGTCAAGTGGTAGATCGAAGCCGTCCAGTATACAGTTTTAGTGAAGTTTCTATTTATAGTAACAGTGACCTTGACCTTTGACCTTCGGACCTGGAAAGCAATCCCAAGCAAGCACTTTTGGTAAGGAAGCACTGCATTAAGTTTGAGTTTGATCGGCCAAAGGAAACTCAAGTTATCGCACGAAACCTCTGTTCGGACGACGCCGTCAAAGCAATACCTATGTGTCACCAGCTTTTCACAGGCGACACAAAAAAGTACTACTTGGATGCACAACTTCAAGGGGAAGTTACCATATCTGTAAACTTTCTTTGAAATTGGCCCAGTAGATTAGGAGAAGTTGTCAGGACAAGATTTTTTCAATAAAGGGCAATAACTCCACAAAAAAAGGTTGGAAAAAAATACCTGGATGCACAACATCAGGAGGTAGTTATCATATCCGAAAACATTTGTTGAAATTGGCCCCGTAGTTTTGGAGGAGTTGTCCAGACAAGGAATTTTCAACAAAGGGCCGTAACTATGTAAAAAAGGGTCAGAATAAAAAAGTAATACCCGGATACACAACTGCAGGTGGTAGTTATCATATCTGGAAACTTTCGTTGAAATCGATCCATTCCTTTAGAAAGAGTTGTTTCTACAGTCGGACGGACGGACGGATGGACGGACAGATAAGCTGATTCCAGTATTTCCCCCC